ATAGTCTTCAATGCACACCTTAGAAATCTAGAAAGTTTTAGAATTCATAATTATCCAACCTAAGAAGTTAAAGAAAGAATAAGACATTAAGCCCAAGTAAATAGAAGGAAGAAAATAAAGAGAAGTGGACGAAACAAAACCAAACCGACCAACGAGAGGATCGACTAGGTCAAAAATTTGTTGAAAACATGAATAAAATCATCAACTGGCTGGCAGGCTTGACCAATGGAAAAAAGTGAAAGTGTAAACCAACAATATTGGCAATAAAAAAGGGGCCTAACCACTGACGACACGGATGCTAAAATGCCGATAAATGCCAATAAATGTGAAAACTAGGAGGGAACGTACAAATTCTTAAAATACGCAACTTATCAAAACTGACACAAGAAGAGATAGAAAACCCCAACTGTCTCATAACCATCCGAGTCATTGACTCGATGAAAAACCTGCCCACAAAGAACGCACCAGGCCTAGGCGGCTTTACCTCCAAGTTTCCCCAAACGCTCAGGGGAAGAGAATCCTCCCCCTATACGGAATATTCTAGAAGATGGAAGAAGGGGGAACACTTCTCAACTCGTTCTGTGAGGCTCACGTACATGGGCTACCATAACCCAACGAGGACACTGTAAGTACACATCACACCCACAAATGTGGACAGAAAAACTCGGAGGAAAATATTAGCTGGAGGGTTTCAGCAGTGTGTAAGGAAGCTAATACAACGTGAGGGACTGGTGTGTGGCGGGGAGAGGCCAGAGGCCACATAGATGTCTGGAAAAATAATCTAAGCCCAAGATGATAAAGGCCTGAACCCAGCGGGGGCGACGCGCAGCTGGCGTGCAAGGGTGAGCCGCTTGGAGGGGCTCTCGGGGTGGTGGCAGGAGCAGGGGGTGTGGCTGGGATGACTAGGACTCCGGGTCCTGCTTTTAGGCCTGGTGGGTGGAGAAGTCTGGGAGGGGGACAGAGCAGGAGGACGGGGGTCTGGGGCAGACGCCAGGTCCTGGGTGACCGGGCCTACCTGGTCCAGGGCAGGGGCTGGGGAGCCCGGCCTGGGGGGCATTCCTGTCAGGCAGAAAGGTGTGCCTGGCTAGGGTTCTAGGCTGGGGGGCGGTGGAAGGAATGTCGGGGGCCTGGGGGGGCCCTTCCCACCCACAGTCTCTGAACTGGGGCCTGGAAACCCAGGACTCCCTGTGTCCGGCTCTGAGCCATGAACATTTCCGGCAAAAACAGAGAAGAAAGAAATTCTCCCAGCCCACTGTGTTCCTCATATCAGCAAAAGCAGTGTGAGCTGAGCTTGCAAAGCAAACAGGGCTCAATGTAAACACTGCAGCAGGTCCTGGGGACGGAGCTAAGAATACACACTGGGGGAGGAAGGTGGGAGCCGACTTCTCCATCGGGTCCCCAGAGAGCCGCAGGCTCCCTGCCCCGGAGCAGCCCTGACGGGGAGGGGCCGGGGCGCTGGGGGCCGCGTTCTCAGGACCCATCCCAGGGCCTGGCGTGTCGGAATCTGACCGCTGCCGCCCGTGGACCTTACTGCTTGCCCTCACCTTGGCCCTCAGTGCTCCTGCGCGGCCTCTTCTCAACCAGACCCCTTCTGTTTGGGCAATACTCTCCTGCTTTCTTCTGTCTCTCTCCACCTCATCTCCCCTTCTGTCTGTGGCTTCCGCCGGGACCAGCTCTTTACCTAACCAGCTAACTAGGCAACCGCTCAACCTCTCCGGGCCTCAGTTTCCCCACCGGTAAAAGAGACTTCATTTGGGCAAACGAGTCCTTGCCAGGGTAGAGAACGCAACGCGACAAAGCAGTTCAAGCCCTCTCCTCGCACAGCTAAGGGGGCCAGCGGGCTCCCCAGGCCAGTGGGCGGCAGGCTGCGGTGGGGGAATGCTGTGTCTGCTCCCCATGCCCCCGGAGCGAGGCAGGCCTGCACAGCCAGCCCGGGCCAGGGACGGGGGCATCCTGAGGGCGGGTGGGGGGCTCTGAGCAGGAGTGCGAGCTGCAACGAGGCTGCAGGACCCCGGAGAGAAGGAAGTGTGGGGGGCCCTCCAGCCCATGTGGCCCCTGGACTGGACATGGGAAGGAGACTCCTCGCCGGGAAACAGAGGCCCCCCTGCACAAGCTGAGCTGGCCTCCCCCACCCCCGGTGACTCCCTGCAAGTGGACAGCCCGGCCACTGACCCTCAGAATGACCTGCGCCCAGGACGGGGATGGGGGCAGCCGCTGTGCCCCCCGAAGTCCCCTCCCCCTCCTCTCCAAGCCCCTCGTCCTGTGGCTGAGTGAGCCGCCGGGCCGGGACCGCCGTCACCGCGGAGGGCCTGAGCTGAGATGAGGAAGCAGTTGGGGGCCAGGCTCCCTTCCGGCCTGAGGCCAGCCCGGTGGGGTTGGGGGAGGTCCGGGGCTCCAGCTGGGGCTGGCGGGCCGGCTGGCACTGCCACCACTGCAGGCCTGCTGGGCTTCCCAGGGCTGGACGGCTGCTGGATTTCCTGCCCCCAACTTCCCTCAGTCAGCAGGATTGCGAGGGGGGTTGTTTATGGTCCCGATGGCTGCGGTGATAACGTGGGGCCTGGGACACGCCACTGTGCCCTCTGGGCCCGGCGGGGCCCTTTCCCAGGGTCTGTCCTCGAGGGGGGCATCGGCTAGCGGGGGCGGGGCTGGGCAGGCTGAGCTGGACGCCGGCCCACGGCAGCCTCTGCCCGAGTCCAGCACGTGTCCACGGGGCAGAGATTCAGCGTGGAGCACGGCCTGCTCCCTGCCTTGAGACCTGGGGGCATGACTGTGCCTCTTGGGCGGAACCAGCTCCTGGGAGGCAGGACGGGGACGAAGGCGACACAGAGCCCATCTCCCTGAGCGTGTGCGGAACATCCGGAATACTTGCTGCCCAGAAACGGCCCCTGTCCCGGGCGCAGAGCCTGACGGTGGAGGCCACCAGGGGCCTTGCTCCCAACCTTGCCCCCAGGGATCAGGGACTCCAGAAAACCCTTCCCTTTGTTGTTCAGATCTGAAGAAATGTGGGCCCATAATTCTGTATCCCCAAGGCCAACGTGGGCCGCACCTCAGCCCGCCACACCGACCCTAGCTGCACAAGGGCTGAGCCCTGGCTCTCAGACCCCCACCGGCGGCCAGATGGCTCCAGGGAACCCTGTCTCCTACCCTTCATCACCCCCAGAGGACACCAGGCTCTGGTTTAGGTTTCAAGGGGTGGCCTGTCCAGAGGAACAGTGGGCAGAGCCGTAAGAGAGGCCCAGGACAGTGGGACAGGGGACAGAACCAGACCAGGGCAGGGACTTGAGGAGGGGTGAGCGCATTTGGATGACAGGGCAGTGGGGCGCTCCCAGGGCTGCTGGGTGGGGGCCGGCTCACGCGCCCATGGGCCACCACGACCCCTGCCAGCGGCGGGGGCCAGTCAGTGAAGGCTGCCTTGGCCAGAGCTGGGCTAGGAGGCGGGGGTGGGGGTGGGGGGCCCTGGGTCCTTTCCCCGGCTCTACCTCTGCATCCGTTGATGTCTGGAAGCCCCGCCCCACCGGTCCCCCCAGCCGGGTGCCTGGTCTGCTGTACTGGGCGTGGCCACCTGCTGCTTCTCCCAGAATCTGCCAGCCCCGTGTCCCGGGTCCCACACGAGGAGACGAGTGAAAGCCAAGGACGGGTCACCAGAGAGGCGGAGTCCAGGCCCCAGAGCCTCTGATGCCACTCAGCCTGTGGAGCTGGCCGTTCCTAGCTTCAGTACCCATCCTGCCAGACAGGGCATCTGCCACTGGACCACCTGCCTGGGCACACGAGAGCCACCAGGCCCGCCGAGGCCTGCGCTGACCGAGACGGGCCAGCCCTCCGGCGGGGTCAGGGTGTTGGCGTCACACAGCCCTAGAGGGCCAGGCCCGAAGTGAGAGCCCCCGTGGGCACCTGGACAGTGGCCCTCCCCCACGTACAGGATCGTGGCCCATACCCGCCCAGGCCAGGGAAGACTGCTGGTGGGTAGAGGGTCGTCCTGCAGGCCCAGGCCAGGGTGGGTGGGGCAGGAACCCGGAGCTGTGCCCCTGCCCGCCTGCCCAGCTGCAGCAGAGATGGACACGGGCCAGAGCCAGGCGTTGCCCAGGAAACCGAGAGTCGGACGCATCCCTGCTCAACCGAAATTCCTCTATTTTTAGCCCCCCGGCTGCTTTCAGATAAAGTCCATGTAGATGAACGAGCTGTTCGGCAAGATAACAGCCTGCTCCAAACCACGGAGACTTCAAAGGGCGCAGGCCGCCCCCTCCCATTCCACAGATCCTCCGAGGCTCCCAGGATGCCCTGGGAAGGGGTTCCGGAGCTGAGAGGCGGGGCCGCGGGCACAGAGCCCGGCGGGCACGGGGGTGTCCCGGCCACCGAGGCTGCCGGTGCCCTGGAGCGGAGGGGGCACGGCGTCCACGTCCCACCGGACAGCCAGCAGGGCCTCGGCCGTCACTCCCCACCTCCCTTGCTGTCAGGACCCTGCGGAGGGGGGTCCTGGAGCCACACCCCCCCCTCCCCACTTGACACACCCCCGTGTCCCTGTCGGCACCTCTGAGTCCCTGAGTGCAAGCGGGCTGGGGGCTGAGGGAGCCGCAGGCAGCGTGGACAACACTGCCCACCTCAGCGTGCACCGGGCGGTCCTCAGCTATGCCAGGGAGGAACTGTGGGCACTCGGTGCCACTTGCCAATAATGATGCCACTTGTCAGAGGTCTAAGACCAGCCTGGCCTTCAGCGTCCTCCTCCCGCGGGGACCGACGCCCAGTGCACATGAGAGAGGAGCTGAAGCCCTACGTCAGGGAGCCCACACCGAGCACAGGTGGAAGGAAGGAAGGAAAGAGGGAGGGAGGGAGGGAGACCCCAGACACCTAGGGCACCATCCAAGCCCTGCACGCTCAGGACAGAGCTGGAGAGTGAAACGCCGCTGTGGACGGCACCGTCTGGGCCCCAAGGCCGCTGCCCGCCGCCCGCCAGCAGCGACGCCGCGTGGCCCGCGAGAGCTGGCGTGGGCTCGGGCGCCTACCTTGTCCTCCACGCGGTTCAGGCGGGCACCGATCGTGTTGCTGCCTCGGTCCTTACTCTTCTCTGTGGGGTTAAAGCACCCAAGTCAGGGACGCCTGGGCTGGCATATGGGGAGGGGTGGGCAGGTGACCCCAACTGGGCTCGGGGAGAAGGGCGATGGGGGTGAGGGAGTGAGGGTCAAAGGCCCGAACTTATGGGAATGTCTCTTAGAAGCTCTTCTGTGCTGAGAACCTCAGGGGCGGCAGTGGGTGGGCCGGGCGCTGGCTTGCTTGTCCCCACTCCACTCTTTCCGGTTCTGTGACCTCCGAGAGCCTCAGAGGACAGGCACCCACCCTGCCCGGGGGCTGCCTGAGATGGTGCCCGCCGTACAAAGGTGACATTCCGCCCCAAGGGGGAACTTGCTCTGGCCGGGGAGGCCTGTCGCCCCTGCGGCCCTGCCGCCCTGTCCCTGAGTGAGCTGCACCCCTCACTTGAACTTGGGCTAGGGCAACCCCGAGGACCTGGCCCGGCCCTGCCCTCCCTGGTGTGACCCCCAGCCCCCCCCGGAGGACATGAGGCCAAGCCTCAGAGCTGGAGAGCAGCACCCACCTTGCTCCCCAACGCTCTAGCTGGCTGCTCACCCCCCAACCCCACTCCCAGGCCCCCGCCTTCCCAGGGTCCTGGTCACATTTCCACACTCACATCAATGGCCTAGAAAAGCCCGCCATTTGTAAGGACGCACGCCGGTTCTTGCACTAACTGAAAATCCCCTGTAAATCGTGTTTGAAGCCAATTTGCTTAGGGTCTACCTGCCCCCACTCTGGATTTCCTTGCCAGACATGCGCTTTCTGATGGTGGAAGAGGCAGGCGTGGGTGGAGGGATGGTAGGAGGGTGCGGCCTGGGCTGCCACGCCCAGGGTGCCTCGATGCAGAAACCCACCTGAGACGGAGATGAAGAGGGAGGGCTTCCCGATGGACTGGTCCAGCCTGGGGGGGAGGGAGGGAGACGGAGACCGGCTCACGCTTGGCCAGGGCACCGCACGGACATCTGGCCTGTCAGTGGGTGGATGGGCTGATGTGCCCAGCAAGACAAGCTGCCCGCCCCTTCTGGGGGCCGCCCCTCACTGCCACCCAAAAACCAGCCAGGTGCCTCCCAGGTTCCAGAGGCCCATGCTCCCAAGGGGGCTTTGGGGGGCGGCGCTCAGAGGTGAAGGGCAGTGGTTGGGCTGCTCCTTTGTCACCCTCCCTGGGCACAGCAGGGTGCCAGGATAGCCCAGTGTCCTGAATGTTCCCAGAGAGGCAGGCCTGCAAATGGGCCCTTCCGGGGCAAGGCCAGGTCACTGGGCTGGGTGGGCTTCACGCCCCTGTAGTAGGTCAGCGACAGGGGCGGGGGCAGCCTGAGCCCCTGGCCTGGCCTGTGGTCAGGACAGGCACGTCTCCCAGCCACACCCTGCGTCGCACAGAGCTCGGTTCCCAGGCCAGCCCACCGTGGAGATGCAGCTGGTCTGAGCCCACGCAGGCCCCCAAGGACCACGCTGCTTCCATGAGGATGAGCTCTGTGGGCCCCAAGTCAGAAGCCAGAGGACGTCGGCTACCAGGGGTTGAGGTGCTCAGCTCCCAACTGGTAGGGCCTCTCCTGGAGGGGCTGTCTCCTGGGGCTGGACCTGGCCCCTGCTCACAGGGTGTGTGCTGGGCTGTGAAGTGTCCAGCGTCTCTGAGGCGTGGCCATGTGTGGAGTGAGCCCCCGCCCCTACCCCGCCCGCTCAGATCCCCCTGTCCCCCGGGCCCCGCCCCCTGGGCCCCGCGCGCCCACCTCCTCTGCAGCTCCTTGATGCGCACCATGAGGTTGAGGTGGCCCTGGGAGTACTGCTCGATGACATCCCGCACGTCGTAGGGCTTCCGTGCTTGCTGCGGTGGGAGAGAGAGAGTCACGCTGCGGGCGCAGCGTTAGCGCAGTGACTGCGCCCGCCTTCCGTGGTCTTCCAGGATTTAAGGAGCTGCCCGCGTGGCACCACGGGGCGGGCCTGGATCAGCGCACATGCAGTGGCCGGGCTCATCCTCCCCGGGAGCCGGGTGACCCTGGGCCGGTACCTCAGCCTCTCTGGGCCTCAGCTTCCTGCCCGCTCACCCGCAGGGACCTGCCCACTCTCCCTTTCCAGGCCGCCGGTCCCTGTTTTCAAGCTGCCTTGGAAGAGCTGGCCCAGCCGAGGGCCTGGGGGCGGGGGGCCAGCATGGCCGCCAGTCACTGCGTGGAGGGCACAGCTCCGTGCGGCCACCGCCTGCCTGGGCCCCAAGCTCACCCTCCGCACGCTTGTCGGCCGGCGCACCCACTGCTCTTGGGACGGGGAGGTGGCCCACCCCACCCCCTTCCTAGGCAGTCCCCTGAGCTGAGCAGGGGTGGCCCCGGGGGACAGGCCTCCTGCTGGGGCTCCCAGGCTGCCTGGGAAGGGAGGTTGGTCCCACGGCAGGCCTGCGGCCATGGGGGCAGGGAAGGTAACCCCAGAGCTCCAGGCTCGGCGCCAGCCCTGAGCCCATAAATGCCTCCGGGGCTCAGGTAAGACCACAACAGAGAGAACGGGGCTTCTCACGACGTCAGCAAAACGCCCAGGGAGCATCGGGCTGGCCGTGTCGGGGTCTGATGGCCCAGGAGGCCCTTCGCCCACACAAGCGAGCCAGAGCTGCGTGGGGATATAGGCTACTTCTGTTGGGAGAACCGCGGGGAGACGGGGCTGGGGGCCCCAGGTGGTCTCATTAACCCTGAAGGGCCCACACTAGTGATGGGCTGGGAGGTTCCTGCCTCTTGCTGGGGAGTGTAGGGGGCCTGAGAGACACGCCAGACAGCTGGCAGGCCAGGGCGGGGCCGGCGGGTCAGAGGGAGAGAAGTAATAAGGCACAGAGGCCCGTTGAGGGTCAGGGCCAGGTCTCAACCCCGGGAGCCCCAGGGCACCTGTCCTCCCTGCCCACCTGAGGCCTCCTTCTCCTTGGGGTGCCACCCCAGAGACTGGGGCTACCCCAGGCTAAGGGTAGGGCCACCTCTGCCTTCCAGAAAGATGGGGTCCCCTGAGGGCAGGGTCCTGCCTCGATCTCTGGGCACCCTTCAGACATGTCCAGGGGCCCTGCCATCAATGCTGGCGGCTTAACTATGTTCTCGCAGCTCCCCACATCGTCCTGGACCCCAGGAACCCTGGGGCAGCGCAGAATCCTCCTCCCTGTCAGGGACTCTGGGCACAAGAATTCCAGGGGGTTCCTGCTCCCTCAAGATCCGCCAGGCGGGGCCCTCACAGTAACACCCAGCCCCGCTTTGGGCCCCGGGACCACCCTGTGTCCCTTTGTGGCCTACATGCCGAGGCCCGTGGTGGGGTCTCAGGGTCAGGAGGGGGCGGGACTCTGGCAGGCTCTCTGACTTGCCATGCACTCAGTTTCATGACAAGGGTAACAGTGGCCCTTAGCTACAGGCTAGTGGTAATACCCCAGGGCTCAGTTTGTCCTTCTGTGAGTTGGGGATGCGGAGCCCTCTGGCTGGCAGGGAGGGAGTGGGGATGAAGTAAGATGGTAGGTGAGAAAGGCCAGTGGGTCCTGAACTGGCTCTTGCCAGGAGAGCCCGAGGTGGCCGTGACAGTGTCTGCGGCTGAGCCCAGGGTCTGCACTGCTGTTCAGCGCACACGCCACTGAGTTGTGATCTTGGCCTCCTGTGAGCTATACTGGGCACCTCCAGGCCTGCTGGAGCCGTCTGGGGTGGGATCAGAAGAGGGGAAGTCTGGGTTTAGAGGTCAAAGTGGGGCAGGCCTGGCCTGGGATGGAGCGGGTCCTTGCCCTGGTCCCCCAGACGCCCTGGGAGGTCACGGCCCACAGCGTGCAGGGGAATCTGGGCACCTGAGCGTGTTAAGAGCCTCTGTGTACACAAGTGAATACGGATGTCCCCGTGGGAAGGCATAAGAGTACAGGTGACAGGTGTGTGTGTGCCCGGGCATGCGTGTGCATGTCTGCAGAAGCGGGGGTGCGGGTGGGGTGGGGCTCGTGAGCAGGCCGCCCACCCCCAGCCTCGCCTTGTCTAGGGTGTGGACCACAACAGGGTAACCGAGGCCCGACTGACACCCAGGACCCGTGGCACGGTGGGGTCCCAGGCCCCCTGAGACTCGTCTCGGAGCTGAGAAGTTCACCTCCCGCCTCCCAACCAGGGTCTGCTCAGAGCTCCTGGAGGCCTTTGTCGAGTGGTGGCCTGGGGCCCGGCTGGAGACATCATCTCAGCTTTCTCTCTAGAGCTCATTTCCTTGGCAGCAGCAGGAGCCTGAGATGAGTCGAGATAATGCCGGGCTGTCCAGACTGACCGCCGGTGGACATGCGAGTTCAAGGCAAACGTGAAGGGCTGAGAGGCTCTGGCTCCTCCGGCCAGACGCAGGGGCGGCCAGCTGGGTACTTATCGGCAGGCGAGGCGGGCAGGGGGGCCACCCGCCACTTCTGCAGCCCCTGAGGCCAGATGGGGGTGGGCGTGCAGCAGACAGACAGACGGGCTGCTGCGGGGGAAGGGACGGCATCCCTGACAGCTGGGCCTGGGTGGGGCGCCGCCCCTGGAGCCCCACAGAGCCCCTCACTGCCAGGGACTCGTCCACCGCTTCTACGTCCGTGCACGGGTCCCTCCTTCCTGGAGGCCTCCTGCTGCCCCAGCTTCTGGCCTTGCTCAAACCAGGAAGCTCCCGGGAGCGCCTCCGCTCAAAGGGCCCTGCCCAATTTATTGAAGGCCCCCCGGGGGTCCTGCGCCGAGGGGAGGGGCAGGAAGCAGGGGAGGTGAGGCTGCCCAGCCTCCTTCCGGAAGCCTCCAGGCCATTCGCAGGACCCTGGCCTGTGTCCTGAGGCAGAAAAGGAGACCCTCGGCCTGGAAGGGAGGTCTTGCCTGCATGTCTGTGACGGGCGCTCACCAGCGTCCACAGCTGCTCCAGCCACTGTGGCGCCCATCTGCCCAGGGCGGGCTGTGGTTCTGAGCTGGAAGCTGCTCACATCACCCCCAGAGCTGGGCCTGCCATGAGCCCCAAGGTTCCGCCTGCCCTGCTGGGTGCCCCAGACCCTGGAAGCAGCCCCCAGGAAGCCTGCTGTCCACCCTGGCATGGCCCTGCGTGGCCCAACAGTGCCCCAGGCAGAGGTTATGGCCTCTGCCCTGCCGGGGCCTGCTCTGGAACGCTCGTGGCCCAGCTGCTCAGGCTGGGGACCATCCCCATCCTGGAAGAGTCCCCGCTGACCCCTCTGCTCCCCAGGTTGACGTCTGTGGTTTTAGACGTCAGCACCAACGGCCCTCGAGCGAGGGCGACACATCGTGGCCCTTCCGGGGGCCTCTTCTGCTCTTGGGAGCAGTCCTGCCCAGACCTGACCCCCGAGGGGGGTCCTGCCATTCCTCCTCCTCCCTCCCCAGGAGGCCAGCCCGCCCTCACCCAGCGCCCCCTGAGCTCCCTGCTCCACCAAGCCACCCCTCTGCTGGTACCGCCAGGGCAGCGGGCCCTCGGGGGAGGAACAGCCACAGAACCCAGACGCCCTCTGTCCGGGACCGTCGGATCTCGCCCAGAACACTGCTGGGCAGACCTCCTGGCGCCGGGCGACAATAGCATTCACCACGACTCTTTTGTTCCAACAATGAGGAGTCCCAGGCCCTGGCGGGAGTCTTAGCACAACTTGGCCCAGTTTGGTGGGGAACGGCCCCCCTCCAGGGCTGCAGGCGGACAGACGGGCAGGCAGCAGGATGCCACCGGGGACTCTGTGCAAACCACCCAGCCGAGGGGGCCGCGGTGCTGCCGGGAACGGGGCGGCCGGGGCAGGGCCTCACCAGGGCTGTCCTTGGGGCCGGGATCAGTGGCGGTCGTGTCATGGCAGAGCCTGTGTGAGGGCTGGGCACCCGTGGACGCCGTCCTGGGCCAGCCCCTTGGGCTCCTGCTCCCACTACCAGCGGGGGAAGGGTTCTTCCCCAGGGCTGCCGGGGGGTGGGGTCTTTCCAGAACCCCGCACTGAGTCTGGCTCTGTGGCCTGGGCGGTGAGGGCTCTGCTGAGGGGGCTGGGACGAGCCAGCGTCAAGCCTTCAGCCTGGGGTGGGAGGTGCGGCCCGGAGGGGGCTGGCTCTTGTCCCAGCCTCGCTGTGACCTCCCAGGGGCTGTGAACAAGCCCCCCCGCCAACCTCCCCTGCTTGGCGAAGCAGGCCCAGGGGATGTGGGTGTTGGTTGGCTCTGGGCGACCCCCAGTCCTGGCTCCACCAAGGACTCACTTTTGAAAGGCACCAGTGGCCAAGCCTTCTGGAAAGAGAATGGCCTCCCCCAAGGGTCCCTGCTTCCTAAGGTTCCATGTTCTCAGAGTCAGGGCTAAGCTGGGCCCCGCTCCTCAGACGGAGGACGGTCCCCACGTAGGAAGGAGGGCACCAAGCCTGCCTCCAGCTGGCTTCCTCTGCGGGCTCCCAGGGGCTGCAGGAGACCCACCCCTGGCAGGAGTGCCGATGGGGAAGCCCACAGTCTCCAGCCCCGCCCAGCCAGAGAGACCCTACCTCTCCCTGCAAAGGTGGGCCACCCCGGGGCACAGAGCAGGGCTGGGTCTCCCCTCTGTTCCGACTCCCACAGGGTGGGCGAGGGGCACAAGAGCCCTGAGCCGGCCTGGGACAGAACACTTCCTGCCCAGGTGACGCAGGGCGGGCTCCGCACCCTCCCCGAGTCACTCCCACTCCTGTCGGGTTGGGGGTGGGAGGGGCCAGTGAGCCCTCGGGCTCTGCGTGCCTCTGGGCTCTGCGCCGGCCTCAGGGTCCAGGCCGATCAGGGAAGTGTCCCTCCAGGGTCTGCTGTCTTGGGGACGGATCCTGAAGTCATGGCAGGGTGTTTGACGGGTGAAGGGTCAGGTCTCAGGTACGGCAGGGCATGGGGACCCCGCAGCCTGCGCTGTGGGTGGGTGGACCAGGGCAGGAGGGCTGAGTACAGGACTCACCTGGAATTTCTTCTTGGCCACAAAATACTGCATGCGCCTAATGACCTTGATGGTGGCCCGGTGGTGCTCCCGCAGCCTGCAGTGGAGAATGGGGAGGAGGGCGTGAGTGCGGACCAGATGGTCATCCCGCGCCCACCACTCTCAGAGGGCTCGGAGGCTTCCCAAATGTGCCCCCCATCCCCGGCAAAGGGCTGGGCCTTTCCAGAAACGAGGAGCGTGATCGACCCCCTCCGATGGGGATCTGCAAGCTCACATCCTGGTGGCAGGAGGAGGGGCTGAGGCCAAGAGGCTTTAAATTAGGGGGATGACCCTAGAGGGACCCTCGCCTTGCTTGTCGCTCAGAAGTGGGGGAGGAGTCAGGGTCCCGAGTTGGCAATGGCTCTGCCCCTCACTCACAGTAGAGCCGCAGAAGCTCCTTTCTACCCTTGGGCCTTCTGGCTGCTCACTAGGAGCGTGGGGAGGGGTACAAACAGATGACAGCTAAGGTCCTTTCAGCTGGAAGGTTTTATAGCCCGCCCACCGGTACCCACTTGGAAAATACAGGGCTGCCGGACAAATGAGCCAGGGATAGCTACCACCTGAGCCACCCTGCTAAGGAGACCGTGCGGTATCCCCTCTGAAGTTCCTTCTAGAAACATCATTAAAAAGGGAAACACAATCGTTGATATATATATGTTCATAGGAAAAAGACCGGAAGGAAATACATCCACATGGAACCAGTGGGGATTTTCCTTCTGCCTCTGAGGCTTGCGTCTGACCAAACCTTCTGCTGAGAACACCACCACAGCTGTGTGATGGCTTTGAGAGCAAGGAAGACTCCAAGGGCTGAGATCCCAGAAGAGAAACGAACTGGGAGAGCCCACGTGTGCGTTTCTGCGTTTGTTGTGTGGGGCACGCTAGCCGAATGGGAGGCAGGGGGCTCCCTGGGCCGGCAGGAGTCCAGGGCTGCAAAGACATCCAGGACTTGATGGGCCAAGATCCTGGTGAATGGGGGGCCACAGGGAAGGAAGCCCCCTTTCACGCAATTTCCCCTTGAAGCATTTGTGAACTAAGCCGCACAGCATGGGGTGAGATTCTGAGAAACGGAGCAAGAAGCAGCTGCTAGAAGGATAAAAGGCTAAGCAGAGGCCTCCACAGACTCACGTCACCGGGGAGGAGAGAACTGCGATTCAGAGTCACCAAGGAGACGGGGTCCTGGCAAACACCCCAAGCTTTCAGATGAGAGCCCCCAACCCTGCCATAGCCTCAAATCACCTCAATCCCCACCTGGAGCAAGGTGCGCTGTCCCGCACCTTTTGCACGCCAGAGAAAGCTGAATTATCTGTAGGGATAAGATCACGGAGCCTCTGTTCTGTTTTTAATACTCAACAGACTGAAAACAAATGGACAAAACAGACCACGGAAACAGATCTAAAGATGTGGTAGATTGAATGCCTTAAAGACTTGTAGCTCTTGCATCAAGAGATAGAGTTGGTTTTCTCACTGCTTGAATTTGGGCTGACCTTGACCCTTATTGTGATGAAAAGCATGCTGGGGAAGTCCCACCGTGTCTAACTTGTGTGCTCTTGGAATGTGGTCGCTTGAACCACCTGAGCTGGCTGGCTGGAGAGGCCGCGTGGAGAATCATGGTGCTCTGGCCAAGAGCCAGCACCAAGCAATAGGCATGTGAATTGAGGCCATCTTCGACCACCCGGCCCTGATAAGCCTCCAAGGGGACTGCAGCTGTGAGAGTCACCCCATGCAGAGCCAGCAGGACAACCTCCCAGCTGAGCCGAGCCCAGATGGCTGACCCACAGACTCATGAATAAGGAAAGAGCTGCAGTGTGAAGCCACTAACTTTAGGTGTGGTTTGCCATGCTGCAATAGATGAAAAGAAATTAGGACCCCAAAGTGGGGTACATCATATCAAAATCCTGAAACGCATAGTGCTGGTTTGGGGACCAGGCATTGGGCAGAGGCTGAAAAAAAAAAAAAGGCCTATCGTAAGATGCTGGACTTTGGACAGGGTGCCATCTCTAATCGCAGGAGACTTTGGTGTCTCTTGGAGGGGTGAGTGAATTTTACTTTGGGGGGAATGTAAAAATTTATGGCCAGAGGGTGGGCGGGGGGAGGTTAGAGATGGGTGTAAATCCTTTGCAGTTCCCCCCAATCAGAGTTCCCCCCAACTATTTCCATCATCATGGAATGCTGCTGCCATGTGGACGTGTCTGAGCTGGGCTGCTAGAAAAGCCACGTGGAGGAGAGCTGAGGCACCCTGGCTGACAGCCCAACAGCTCCAGACTCTGGAGGCTAGCTGAGACCACCCAGTCACCACCCAGCTGCCGCTTGGACGAGCCAGGTGAGACCAGCCAGGTGAGGAGCCCAATACGCCGACCCACAGACTCAGGAGCAAACAGTTGCATCAGTTTGCTTCAGAGTTTTTAGATAAGGACTTGAAAATAACCTTGATAAGTAGGTTCAAGAAAATAGATGACAAGATGGAGAATTTCACCAGAGAAGTAAAATCTATATGAAAAAGAAAGAAAGGAAATTCCAGAACAAAAAGGACACTCATGGAAATTAAGAAATGCAGTAGATGAATGTGCTGGCAGAGGAGAAGAGAATATTTGTGAATTGGAGAAAATAGCCAGGTTAGAGTATGGAGGGAAAGTAGAATTAAACATCTAGGAAAAAGTGCAAGGCATGTAAGATGAGGTTAGAAGTTCTAATACGTGTAACACCTTAGAAGGAGAGGAGGCGAAATGGAGAACAAATCATTTTGAAGCCTCAGTGGCACAGAATTTCCCCCAAATGATGGAAGACATCAAGCCACAGATTCAAACGGCTCTTTGGATCCAGCTGGAGAGAGAGACAAGGTACAACAGACCCAGGCCCATCGGAGTAACCCTGCTGAAGACCACAGGGAACATTGCAGAAGCTCTAAAGTCAGGGGGGTGGGGGTGAGAATGATGACACATTATCCTGATGGTTGACTTGTCAATGGAAAGGATGAAAGCCAGAATGACATCCTTAAAGTGCTCAAGGAAAATTCCTACCAACTTAGCATGCTATACCCCATCAAATACGTTCTTAAAAATGAAGGTTCAAGTGAAATAATCCAGTCACAAAAGGATAAACTCTGTATAGTTCCACTTGTATGAGGACCTAGAGTCATCAAGTCTACAGAGACAGAAAGTACGATGGTGGGGCTGGGCCTGAGGGGAGGGGGATGGGGAGTGAGCATTCAATGGGGACAGGGTGTCAGTTTGGGAAGATGAAACAGTTCTGGAGATGATGGTGATGGTTACACAACAACGTGAATGTGCTTAATGCCCCTGAATGATACAGTTAAACATGGTTAAAATGGTACATTTTATGTTATGCATATTTGCTACAATAATTATAAAAAAAGAAGGTGAGGGCTTCCCTGGTGGCGCAGTGGTTGAGAATCAGCCTGCCAATGCAGGAGACACGGGTTCGAGCCCTGGTCTGGGAGGATCCCACATGCCGCGGAGCAACTAGGCCCATGAGCCACAACTACTGAGTCTGCGCGCCTGGAGCTTGTGCTCCGCAACAAGAGAGGCCGCGACCGTGAGAGGCCCGCGCACCGCGATGAAGAGTGGCCCCCGCTCGCCACAACTAGAGAAAGCCCTCGCACAGAAACGAAGACCCAACACAGCCAAAAATAATAAATAAATTAATTAATAAATTAATTAAAAAAAAAAAAGAAGGTGAAAACTAGACCGGGAGAATTCACTGCTGGGAGACCTGCACTGAAAGAACGACGTAGGGGTCTCCCCAGGTAGAGAGCAATGGTCCCAGAAGGGTGCCCAGAAATACAGGAAGGAATTAAGAATGTAGAAAAGGACAGATATGTGAGAAAGTTCAAGTTAGTAAATTAAAGTGGCTGAAATAATCGTGATAGTGTCTCCTGAGGTTTAAGGCATAGCTATAGCTAAAGATACATGATAAAAATAGCATAAAAGGGAGGAGGCATCAGTGGAGATAAACAGTGGTGAGCACCACGTGTTGTCAGGGAAACGGTAAAAGTGCTCATCTGAGGTCGACTCCAGTGAGTCAAGGATGTGTGTGATAATCTCTGGGCAACCACTGATGGAATAATAAAGGACTGTAGAATTAACAAGCTAATAGGGGATAAAAATTAATTAATAACAAGTTTTGATTAACCCAAAGAAGCAGGAAAGGAAGTCAAACGGAAGTGATGGGACAAATGGGAAAAAGAAAAGTGAGATAGCAGATTGCATGCATTGCAGAGGGACTAAATATTCCAATTAAAAAACCAAGATCGTCAGATGAGATTTAAAAAAACAATTTGATGTTGCCTATAAATATACTGAAATAGATAGGCATAGAGATGTTGACAGTGAAAGGATAGAAAAAGACATACATTGGCGTTGCCCAGTGAAAGCTAGTGCAGGTAAACTAATATAAGACAAAGAAGACTTTAAGTATTGCCAGAGATGAAGAGGGGATATTTCATCATTTAAAAAGCGGTCAAGGGAATTCCCTGGCAGTCTAGTGGTTAGGACACCATGCTTCCACTGTAGGGGGCAGGGGTTCCATCCCTGGTTGGGGAACTAAGATCCTGCATGTCACGTGGCAAAAAAAAAAAAAAGTGGTCAGAATTTGGCGGGAAGAGATCAATTCTAAATCTGTATGTACGTAACAACATAAGCTTCAAATATATAAAAGCAAAAGCTGGAAGAACTAAAGGTGAAAGAGAAAATCCACAATCATGGTGGGAGATTTGAATGCACCTCGGTGGGTAACAGATAGAGGAGCTGTGGAAACATCTAAACAGAGACACGTCTGAACGAACGGAGGAGGAACTTGATGTGATCACCGTGCTCAGTGCCCAACGGGCATCGAAGCGTCCCAAGCACACAGGGAACGTCTACCAGAAGGGACCGTGTGCAGGGCTTGAAGAGCAAGTCCCAACAAATTTCAAAGAAAGTAAGTCACATGTGTATGTTCTCTGACCACAGAGAGATTACGCTAGAAATGAATGAGAAAAAGATAACTGGAAAATCCTTAAGTGTTTTGGAAATTAAATATCTCAAGGATCGAAGAGGAAAT